TCTACCAAAATTATGTTTACCAGAGTTTAGAGTTGTTAACTTACATGTAAGTTACTGTAAACTTACACTCTAACTTATCTGACTTATGTAAATTACAGTAATTTACATGAAACTTACAGTAACTTACATGTAACTTATCATGTAAAGTATGTTGTCAGGTAAGTTTTAACAACCCTACCAGAGTTACGAATTAATTGTTGTCTCCGTACATGTTCTATAATTCTATTTTCTTTAAGTCTTTTTAGTAACAGATTTCTTCCTATTCGTTTGTATTTTCTTTGTTGTTCTGATTCTGGAAATTGCTGGCTACACATAATTTTTTAAACTGTAATGACGATAACTAATGCAATCATAAATGAAGATTATACGCCGTAGTATTTTAGCACAGGTGGATGCTGAAATAAGTCATGTGATTAGTCAGTTAAGTATCGATATAAAAATGGTTTAAATCATGGTATTCAAAATGAACTTTTCAAAGAATCAACCAAATCAATATTACAGATTAATTCAAGTACTAACAGGGTTTAGTAACCAGGTTGGTGAAATATAAAAAAGTCACTTCCATTACTACTAAATGTAATATGACTTATTGATGGTAAGTTAATTACTAAAACATGAGTTCATGCCATTTTAAAACAAATAGAGATTAAAATTAGAGGATTATTTATCAAGCAAGAATTTTTAATAGTTATATGAATTTTATTATGAAACTTTGGAGTCGACTGATTGAACTTTACTATAAATATATCTTTATTGAATATCTTTATTGAATATTAATGCTTGAATTATTTTTCTGCCTGCAATATGGAACAGTTGGTTGTAATTTTTAAATTAGGTAAAATTGAGATTTTTTATGCAAAGTTTGTTTCACAATATACGTCTATTTGATTTTTTTGACATCAAATTCATTGTTCTGCCTTTGTCATATAAAGTTGGATATGGCCAACACAGTATTATTTGCATTGAGAATTTCATTCTTTTTAGATTTAATTTTATTAAGATTGTTGTATTTTATACTAATTTCTAGCACTATATAATATACAATTACAAAGATATATATATAGAAAATAAGTATATAATATGAAATATTACGAATTCAATTCACTTGTTAAACAATTTTAGATACTGTAATAAAATCCTATAAAAATGCAAATTATAGTTTCCGGTTTATGTTCTTAAAAAATCAACATGTTTTAATAATATCATTTTCTGAAATATAAGCTAACTAATTTGTTTATAAGAATGTTAAAAAAATTATTTAATGCAAGCAAAGATTATTAAAAAATGACACAAATTGTATTTTCATAAATACTGTACTGCAAAATTTGGAGTCATTATTTTGCCTAGATGTTATTAAATAATTGTGATGTGGTCCAGACAATCCTTACTTGATATATTGCACATGACAATGTTCAATTGAACTAGCAATTCTTTTAATTTTATAAAGATTAGAACAACTTTTATATAACAGTATACAATTTGCTAATTTATAGTAATCTAAATTGTTAACTATTAAAATCAAAAATTGAATCAGCTATCTACATAAAAAAAGAAAAAAAATCTATAATAGCATTGTATTATCGCTTCTTAGTACCCTTTGGTGTTTCTATTGTTACAAACATCTGCTTAATACCATAAACTGTACCCTTATTTGGCTTTTTGGAATGTCTAGACTTGTATCGATAAAATAGTATTCTAACTGTTTTAATAACAGCAGTCTTAATATATTGCAAATTTCTATGTGAATATTCAAACATACTAAATCAAATAAAAAATAAAAGAATAGCAAACATACCCGCAGTTCTAACAATAATTGCATTAGTTCATAAACTTGCTCAGGCTTGCTTTGAAACAGTGGAATCTCAACCTGACGCATCTTAACAAAACGATAATATCCTTCTTTGGTTTTAGAAAAAACATGAATTGATAAATACTGCCCTAATAGAAAATAACAAATAAGAAATCTTGTGTAAAGAAAACATTAAGCTTCCTATCACTTGCCTTTAACGTTAAGACAAAAGATCTTTGTCAATTCATCATATCCATATTTTTTTACACTTCCATTGATAGAAAAATCCTCAAAGGCATCTTTAGCGCTACGCGCCAATTTATTATGGTCAGACAATTGTTTCTTCCAATCCGATTTTGGCCGTTCTGTTTCCATATTGACTAATTCGAGTTCTTTGTCGCCAATTTTCACACGTAGCATGAAATCTGGCTTATTTCCATGTAACTGTTTACGAGCCTTACTCGAAGGACTCTCGACTTCTCCCCTAATTAAAGACGTAAAAATTAAAAACTTGCAAGTATATGATGAAAAAAAGAAAATATTACCAATTTGTTTTATGCATTACGGGGACTGGTAATTCTTCAAAGGTAGCGGTTAACAAAGGTGCTAATACCTCTGCAACGTACGTGCCTTCATTAACTTGGTCTAGTGTACTTGCCATCATAGCATAATGTTGTGTCCTCCATACATTCTCTCTATAAACGAAAATAAAAAATTAAATAAGGATTCTTTACCACTAATAATAAAATATATATCATACAAAGCATTTGATATTCTTCTTGAGAATTTTATTATATCTTTTCTCTCATCGAACAAGTTTCCATATTTCACTTTATTTTCAAACCGTTTTTTCTTTTGCTTTTTCCATGATTGATGGCTCTTTACCAAACTTTCAGAAGCTTGTCTTAAATCAGAATTGCTATCAAGCTTCATTTCCAAGATGCCCGTCTATTTATAAATAGTTATTCTCAATTTAATTGTAATAACAATTTCTGCAGTTATTGTTAAATACCCGAAATTCTTCTTGACAATCTTGTGGCAGGTTTTTGACTAATTCAGATTCATCACAAATAATGCCACTTGCTAATGGATTATCATATGTCAAATCATTAGCACTCAGATTACTTAATTCTTTGAGTAGTTGGGAACAGAGACGTGAGCGAGCACTTCGCTTGAATACATCTTTTGTTTCTATATATTGTTTCTTAATAAAGATTTATAACTAAAACTAGAACACGATTATAATATTCACGTTTCTTACCAAGACAGTTTTCAGCTTACTAATATTTTTATTAGCATCATTTTTCCATTCGGTGATTTCCACTGGCTGAACAAGCTTTGGATTTAAATTTATTCAGTATTAATTATTAATATATACAGTAGATATAAAAAATTTACTGTTATCAACGCGCCCGCCTCTATCAGTGCTTCAAGAGCTTTAAATTGCACTGTAGCCTTTATTATGGTATTAAAGTTAGTTAAATGATTTCAAAAGTTTATTTGAAAAAAAGGCTCTTGACCAAATTTCTGTATTTCCACTGGTAGCATAATAAATTTGCTTGTCCTTTTATCACAATGAACGTCTTCACAGGCAAAAGCCTGTTACTGTAATATAGTATGATATAATTTTAACCCTATTGTGACATATCACTACGAACATCTTCGCAGTAAAACTGTTACTGTAACGTATGCTTGGTATATTTTTGTAATATCACAAACTGTGAATGTCTTGAGGGCTAAAAAAAGGACCTTTTGACTAATGACATTATGCTTATAAACAAGATTTTCATCATATTCTCATTAACTTTAGCATATAAGACATCCAGATATTACTCAACTTTGGTATCTTCAAGAGACTTTAATTTTTCGATACGTATTTTTTCATTTTTTAGAGACAAGTTTTTAAGTATCTTTTCTTTTGTTTCGACAATACTTTAACTTCCTCATCTTCATTACCAGTCTATTCATTAGTCTTTATTCTTGTGTACATTGCTGTGATAATTGTTATTTTATCCGGTTTTTCTGTTAGTAAAAAATTTTCCATTTCGAAAGGTCAGAGATTAAAAAAATGGGATTGTTTACATGTATATACGTGTCAAAAGATGATCTACAAAAATTAGCCAATCAGAATGAAAGCCCCGTGCCGGCCGGGATCACAGGACGTATGCATCATGTGATACAAATGATTCAGTAATAATTCAATAATTTGCGCTTCTTTTATTATTCAAGCATTAAAAATGAAATACATTGTTTCGAAAATATTGTAATATCTATGTAATAACAAATTTAAATAGATTTGGCACCTGCGTTTTAGCATAATATAACATCTTTGTGACAGAATAAATACAATAGAATTGACTTCGTAGTATATAAATATTGTCATCAAATTGCACTTATTTGGTGATCAAAAAAACGGATTTCTCTAGAATTTAGGCCAAATAGTATTAAATGTGTACCAATTGTATTTATTAAACTAATTTAAATATACCTTCTTTGTGTTTGAATTTCTTCATAAGTTCTGAAAGGCTGACGAATGGCAGGCATTATACAGAAATTGATTTGTCGCAATAAGATTTTAATGTGTCAAGAAGCTCTTAAAAGGGATTAAAAGTGTTTATAGGTTCTTTTATGCCATTTTTTTCGCTACAGTAATAAGCAAATTTTTATAAAGTTTTTTGCGTTAGCACAGCCTCTTATTACAAGTTGATTCTGATTTAATAAATATGAATTCTTTAAA